TTGTGGTATTAAAATAGATTGACGATCATGTAGAGTATTAATAAAATGCAATCGTTGTTCTTTTCTCTGAATAGATTCTTTAATGTTGATTTATAGAAACTAATGTGTATGTTTTATAAAAATGAAAGATTATTAGTATGATCAATTTATTGATAATTATTTGGCATTTAGTTGACCTGAAGTCACTTTGAAACAATTATAGAAAGAAGTTATCATTTCGTCAATCGATGTAACTTCGATATAACATATCGATAAATATGCCTCGGGGCAGAATAAACGATTCACCAACGGTTTTTGATTACTTTTCGCCACTATTACCGTTGAGTCTCGTATTTATGTTACATATACATGTTTAATTACTTAACTTATTCTGAAATTTGTAGTCCTACAGAATGTAAACTTGTCAAGAAGACTACAAAATGTTTTATGTACTCATGTATCAGCGGAACAAAAATTTGTTGTTCTGCATATTCCTATGTTTCTTTATATTTCATTTGAGGCCTTCATTAGTAGTTAGTTACCTTTTGAGTATGACTGGGTGACAAAGAAAATATCCTGAAATTTTTCTCTTTACAAGTCGTGCTCAAAATATAAATAACTACTACTCAAGGTCTCATATAAAATATAAAGTAACAGAGATCTATGTAGAACAATAAATTTTAGTTTCACTGACAGATAAATTCGTAAGACAAGTTTGTAATTTTCTCGACAAATTCTTATTCAATTTAGCTACAACTTTTAGATTAAGCTCAATAATTGAACATGTGTATATGATATAAATATAAAACCTAACGTTAATGATGAAGAGAAATAATCAACAAAATTATGTGTGTCGTTTATTTTGACCAGAGGGATATATATATATATCTGCTATTTCTATGACGTTAACGTACGTAAGAGAAGCGATGTAGTAAATGATAGTTGTCCCTGGGGCTCGTTTGTCAATCATCTTCATGTTGACTTGAATGCATTGTAAATATCTGCTTATAATACTATGTATATTCTGTTTTTTTTTCTCTTGTCTATAACTTTTCTGTTTCGATAACCCATCCATCTTCATCACTAGTCTACATGATATACTCAATAATGAAAAGTATCAGCTGCTATTATTTATAGTAAATACCTTCCAAAAGATTTTGTTTTTTAAACAATAAGAAGTAGAAGTATTTAAATATTTTAAAGAATTTCAATAAGCATGATGCTCATTCGTTCATAAACAGTGTCTGAAGTAAATCTTTTACTTTTTTTCTTTTTATCTTCTTGTTCATTTTTTAAGCTTAAGTATTTGCTAGGATTTTTTCCTCCCATATTGTAATCTATTGAATAAATTATTATTGAAAAAAAAAATTGATGAAGTCGACAAAGAGAGTATGACTGAACAGGAGTCAGATGAGGATTGACATGTTTTTTTTTACATAAGAAAATCAAGTAATTGTGGTAGGCTTTTTTTTCTTTCTTTCAAGAACATGCATGCATGATGAAGTACGTGATGATTTAAGCGTTGGATGGTATTTAATATACGTATTTTAAGACCGTTTTTTTCTCCCTTTATATATACTTAAAATCAATTGAATAAAATGATTAGAAAATCAATTTAACTAAAGATATAACGTTTACTACTTTACATTTTGATAAAATTAAAAGTGTAGTATTCTTTTATTGAATTGGTTTTGGACAAGAAAGCAAGGTGCACTACCTCTTTGTTTGATGCTTCGTGTTTTCTTTCTTCTTCTTGGTTTGCTTCTTCTTTTTTCTGCACAAGTTTTCTTTTCTTTGCTCTTGCTCTTTTTCAGCATCTTTCTTTCTATTTTTTTTTCTCTTTCTTTTCTATCAACTCTTTTTTTTTCAGTCGTTTTCTTTTCAATAGTAGTTCGGTACTCGTCCGCCATATATCTGTCTTTCTGTTGCTTCCGCAGTTTCTCTAAATCTTGTTGCACGTCGAGCTCATTGATTTTTCTCGAAAAGTCGTCAACCATTTTTCTTCTTATAAACGTACGTAAATACGACATATACAATGATAAAAAAAAAAAATTTTAACAAATTTCCGTCGTTCAAGAAAAAAACTCAAATGCATCTGTCGGTAAATATTAAGGTCTATGAGAATGAAAAAATAGTCGACAGATGAATGTTTATAAAAGGTAATGTAGTTTTAGTTTAGAAATATATTTATCCATTTGTCGTCATTTGTGCAAAGAATGATAATAAGACTAATATATAAAAAACAACAACAGCAACAACTAAATCACTCGTATATTCGCTCTTTCTCACCATAATAGTTAAAGCCTCATTTTGCATCACTTTGTGTTTTTTTTGTCGGTGTACGTGTTTTTTAATCTAATCACACGTAGACAAAATGCAATGTGCACTTGGGTTAGTCTTCTCCATTTATGATGGTAAACGGAATAAAGAACAATACTATAGCATCGTTCGATGGTGCAATCACAATGTAAGAGAAAGCAGTCAGCTTGCATTTGGATAAGATGCAACAGCGACAACATCAAGGAAGAACAGAAAGAAAACATTTTTCTCTTCTAAGATCGTCAAGCACTCTTTGTTCTGTCCGCGAAACGTATGGGTCTCCATGTATTTCTCCTCCTTTTCTTCTCGATCGTCTATATGCTGCCGTTATGAGGATGGCAGTGGCCCACTCATTCGCTCTAAAGGCCAATGCCTTGTGCGTGCGTGTCTGCGTGCATTTCTCTCTTGTTGAATAACTCGCTATGTTTTCTCTTCCTTCATTCGTTGTTTCTTTCTTCCTTTCTTTCTTTCTTTGGCCCTTTTTTCTTCCTTGCTTTTTTCTTTTTGACTATTTGCGTTGTAACTACCATGTACGAGTATGTGTGTGTGGTTGCAGCAGTAGCAGCAGTTCGTTTTTGTTACTGGGCATCTATTCAACGGGGTCGATGAGAAAAAGTATAGTACACGTACACACACGTAAGAACAACCGAGAGAAAAAGAAGAAAAGAGAAAAAGAGACCACTCTATTCGACAACTGCTGTATTATTGCATCTATATTACATCAACCACCATGCTAGAGACGTGTCTCATATGAGAAGAAGAAAAGAAGAGAGAATATGGACAAGGTTTGAATCGCGCGTGGATCAATCGATCTAGTAGAGGAAGCTTTTCATGATCACTATTTTTTCACATTGTTTGTTTTCCTCATCATGGCAAAAAGGTTATCAGCATCAGCTAAACATGAACGTCGCAACCAATTGGATATATAAAGGTCAGATCTGTTTTGTTGCGCCTTACTATTGACTCATTTATTGTTCAAAAGTCAATCACAAAACATACATTTATATACACATATATAAATATACACATACAGAGTGTACTCATCTCTATTACATTTGTCTCCATTATCGTAAACTTAAAGAAAAATAGGAGTGCAATTATATTCGTTCTTTCGTAAGCATTTTTCTTTTTTTTTTTTCGTCCCATCAATCTATGCATCTAACGTCAACCTTCATTCACCTGGTAGTAATGGTATAGCGATAAGAAACAACAAGATTGAGAGAGTGAGCGACGAGAAGCAAAGATAAAATTGCAGCTGACGCGCACGCGCCCGCGACGGCCTTGTTTCATTCGGGTTTTTCATCACATCACATCAAATTCGTTTTTCGTCGTTATTCTCCTTCTGTCTTCTCATTCTACACTGACATTGTTGTCGTGTCGACTATCGCTTTTTGATTTGGTCGACACACAGTGCTCTACCGCCCTTTTCCATTCGCTTTCCTTCTCTCCTATTTTTTTTTATTATTATTCTGCTTTGCTCTATCGGCAACGGCACGACAAAGTTGCCGTTTTTATCTCGACTCTTAGCGAAGGTAAGCGATTTTTAGGGGAGGGAGGAGGGGGGTAGATGCAATGGTACATGAGTAGGAGCACATATTGACGAAGGACATCGCCATCCATCAAAATGAATAGTAGCAAAGCAGCTGATGAGCAACAGTCTCTCGTTGTTCGCCACTTTAGTGTCAGTCGAAGCTAATCGAATCAGTATGAAAGATCAGTCGAGTGACACATAACAGCCATGTCTGCTTACGTAGAAGAAAAAAGAAAGAATTAATTTACGTTTGCCGCCACCATGCTTACTAACTGTCATTGTATCTACAACTAGTTCTGTTTATAACGTCGATATTTCTATATACGGTACAAATAAGAAAAACAAGGGTATGTATAAATGACAGAACTGTTCTATTTCAGAAATAAAATGAATTATTGTAACCAATGTGTTGTCTCGAATCTGACTAGTTTTGCAATCTGCTTGATGCCAAAACGCAGATGCTGACTTTTCAGATACCTGACATACATTGGAAACGACGGGTTGATTTTTAGAATTTATTTTTACTTATCTTCTTTTAGAAAACAACTGGGTTGTCTATTAACTCAATTAAATCATGGTGTACAATTTGAATTTGTTTTTTTTGCTTTGTTATTGATTTTCTAAATAAAATATTGACTAATTCTATTCATAATAGAGAAGAATATTATGAGTTATTTTATTAAAAAGAAAAATAAGAAATTTATTTGAAATAAAACATTTTAACAATGATTTTTTTGTGTTGTATAAAGAATTTGCTTTTATATTGTTGTATTCGATTGCAATTCATCAACCATATAGCAAATAGACTACTATTCATGTAACTAGCATCAAGATAGATGTCGCTATCATTTTCATTGTTGCGTTGTAATCTATTGATTTTTATTGATCCTTCAGAATCAGAAATATCAACAATGATCAAGCAGAATAAATTGAAGTACAAAGATAAAGTTATATAAAAATAGAAAAAAACAAAATAAAAAAATGTCCGCCAATGGCTGCAAAAGAAACCAATGCTATTAAAAGGCTTAGTCATTTGATTGCTTGTCGCATTCGTCATTCATTCAAGCGTTAACCTCGCAATTATTAAATATAAATTTACCCTTCATTAGTCAAACTTTACATCTATAAAAGAATATCAATTTTACCCATAAAAAACTGATTCTTTATAGTCATGGTGTTTTTAATTTCAACACTGGAAGAATATTTTTCATTTCTCGATAAAATCGAACCAAATACTTTATTTTATGTATTACTTACATTTACATGGGTTATTTCTATTTGGGAACATTATCTTTCATATCGACAAGTACATTTCTTGTTATTTTGATTTTTTTTTTTTATAAATAAAAATTTTTATATTTATTCTAATTGCATAGTATAAAAATTATAAACGTCATCAAAATGTTCCAAGTGAACTAGCCGATGTTATGACAGATGAAGAACTTAAAAAAGCTCGTTCATATGCTATTGATAAAATGCGTTATAATGAAATTCATTCGATATTTAATGAAGTTGAAACAACGGTAAAAATTATTTGAAATTTGCTTTATTTATTTACTTTTTAATATAAGTAGACATTATTATTAATTGGTATTTTTCCATGGTTATGGAAAATATCTGGTAATATATTAGCTAAATATAATTATTATAATCATGAAATATTACAATCAATTATATTTATTTGTATTATAACGATCTATTCAACAATTTCGAATATACCATGGTCATATTATTATCATTTTATACTTGAAGAAAAACATGGATTTAATAAACAAGTAAATTAAAATATTATTTCATATTTAAAGAAAACAAATATTATTTTCCTTTTCGATTTATTTATTTTTTTTAAGACAATTAAATTTTTCATTAAAGATAATATTAAAAAATTAATTGTTACACTTATATTAGTATTACCAATTGTTGCACTTTTAATTAAGATTATTCAAATAGGTGGTGATTATTTTTTTGTTTATGCATGGTTATTTGTTACAATTATGTCACTAGTAAAGATTTTCTAATTTTAGCTTAAAAAAAAAAAAGTTTCATGGTTTTTTTTTTTTCAATATATAATTTAGATTATCGCATTCATTTATCCAAATTATATTGCACCATTATTTGATCGTTATGATCCATTACGTGAAGGAGAATTACGTTCAAGCATTGAAACATTAGCAGCTAAAATTAATTTTCCACTTGCTAAAATTTATGTTGTTGAAGGTTAGTCTTAGAATATAAATAACATAATGACATATCAAAAATTTTTCAATATCTGACATTGGATTAATTATTTTTCCGTATTGCATAAACATTTGTTGAAATTATTTTAATGAAAATTGAAAATTACGCAGCTAATAAAATTAGTCACAAGATCAGATCAAATCATACAAAAAATTTTAGTCTCAAAAATCTTACACTAAATCATATTATAACATTCTTGAAAGTTCTGAACGTCATATAAGATTTCCTATAATCGTATAGCAATATCTTACAAGACAGTAAGAGTTTTTTTTTTTTTTGAAGAATCTTATAATACAATTTACGAGTGAGCCTCTTCAGATGTCTTCTGTCCGATTTCAATGATTTTCTTTTTTGCCTATAGATACTATATGGTGTTTTAATAAATATTCTAAATTAATTGGATTTTCTATTGATATTTGGCTAAGCTCTCGAATTTTTTTTTATGCCTATTTTTTAGAAAACTTGTATTTTTAAATTTTAATATGAATCTTTGTGCATAAAAAGAACTCATTCTTTATACACTACCCATATCGATAGATTAGCTAAATCTTAATAGGAACCTAAATCATTTTTTCGTGGATTTTTATGAGAACACTATATGGGATCTATTGACAACAAAAAAAAATTGAAACTGGAAGCGAGCATTTGAGGAGTTTTCTTCATTAGCGTAAGATTTCACCGTCTGATTATTTGATCTGAATAGAAATGACATGTTTTTGGCCTATAACTATTTCCAAGTCCATATGAAACATATTTAAAAACTTCTTATTTTTTCAGGATCGGCTCGATCGGCTCATTCCAATGCATATTTCTATGGATTTTTTAAAGCTAAACGAATTGTTCTTTATGATACTCTCATAAAAGGTTATAGTATTCATAACAATAAGGATGATGTAAGCTAAATTCGTTGTACATAAACATGAAATCAAACAAATTCAGTTTTTTTTTTCATAATTATAAGACTAAAGAAAAACAATCAAATGAAACAAAAGAAAAAGAAGAAAATACGTTAACTAATTGTCGAACAACGGATGAACAAGAAGTGACAAAAAAGAAAGCTGATAAAGGTTGTGAATCCGAAGAAGTTCTTGCTGTATTATGTCATGAATTTGGACATTGGTCACTAAGTCATAATCTTATTAATTTATGTATTTCATTTGTAAGTTGATAGAAAAAGAAAAACAAATCTTTTTTTTATCTAAAAATTATTTTTTTTTTGTATATTTTTCTAAGATTAATTTATTCTTCGTCTTTGCTATATTCGCTGCTCTTTTCAAACGTTCTATTCTTTATCAAGCATTTGGTTTTACTACAATACAACCAATTCTATTAGGTTTATTAATCATCTTTCAATATGTTTTATTACCTTATTTTGAAGTAAATAAAAATGTTTATTTTCAATCTAACATTATGTTTTGTTTTTCTTGTTTTATTTTTAAAAGATATTTTCATTTGCATTAACGGTATTATCACGTCGTTTTGAATTTCAAGCTGACCATTATGCTGTTAAACATCATCATGGTGATTCATTAGGACGTGCATTAAAAAAACTTGAAATTGACAATATGGCATATCCATTTTCGGATTTTCTTTATGCTAAATATCATTATTCACATCCAACATTACTTGAACGTCTTAAAGCAATTAAAGCAATGAAAACAGCATAAAATATTGTTTTATTATTGTTGTTGTTGTTGTTCTACATCTTTAACTACAGCAATCTAATATAGACCAAATAAAACGAAAAGAATAACTCTACTCATTTATTTATTTCTATCTTAATCCTATTTTAATCTAAGAGTGTTACTTTAACTTTAACTACTTTATCAAAAAGTATTGTTAAAGTGAAAGTGCCACTCTTATTCTCATCTAGACTGTTGTTATTTATGATGCTAATGTGACAAATAGATTTGTTATTAATTTGTACTGCTAATTTTTTTCAGAATTGACAAGCGACTTTTAACAAGTTAGAAATAATGTTGATCGAAATCTTTTAAAATTTTTAGTTTGAAATTCTAAAACCTAGAAATATTGTAATTTAAATATTCTCATTAAAAGTTTTAATTTTTCAAGAAATCAATCAAGAAAGGTCTTCTATTGCAGTGAAGATTTCACACTTTTTATTAAGAAAAATATCTCATACGAATCTTATTTCGTAGAAAATTGATTATAAATACGATTTAATTATAGAAATCATATGAACAAATAGAGACAAGGTTAATTTAAAAATAGATTTAGTAATAATATTGATGAACTCAAAAATGTATCAAGACAATAAATTAAATGATATTCTGTATATATAATATTTTAGTCAATGTTTATTAAAGAAACCCTTGTATGATTATTTCTATGTTATTTATCGTATTTTAGATCATGCATTCAGATAGTGAACAAGAAGATGGTGATATTAATAGAAAAGATATCAAAATTAAAGTTGAACGATTTTGTGAACAATCACAAATTTATTTGAATCGATTACCATTACTTAAACAACAATTAGATGAAATAGATCGTTCATATCAATTTGATTCATATGTACAAAAATTGAGTAAGTTTTAAAATATCAAAATATAATATATCATAAATTTATCGTATTATAAAACATATTTTTATTGTCAAAATGCATATTTAACGTGGTACAAAGTATAGTATTTCTGTAGTCAGTCACGCATATATTCGGTCTCTATATTTTGCTTCCTTTTTGCTATAACGAAATCTGTACATTGTGTCAGAGTGGTCTAAAAAACGACTAGTCGCTGGAACTTTGTTCGAACTTTATCTAGAGATTCTGCAAATATTTTTTATAATCTTCAATAAGAATTTTTTAGTTTATCTTCAGTAAGTTCCTCAAAAACAGCGGTTTTGACTAATTAGGACCGATACTAAAAACTTTCGACAAAAGAGAATTGACTCGAAGTAAAATCGACTATTGCTTTTATGCTAATTAAAACACCATTGACGATATTTTACATCGCTTTCATGTCGCATTTATGTAGTCCTTTGCGAGTTTCCTTTGGCTTTTTTGTTCATTATACGTACGCAGTCGATGTTATCATCAACGTTGATTTTCTTAGAAAAAGTCACCCAAAGAAAACGCAAATTTTTATCTATATTGTTGTTTTCGAGCTTTCAAATGAATGAAATGATGATAGTAACAAAAGTTAGGTAATACTCGTTTTACTTATATCTAAGATAGCTAATAGCAGATAATCGATGAGTCGTTTTCATTAGAAATTTGCCGATACCTATTAACAGATTGGTTTTAATAATCAAAGTTGTAATGACTACTTTTCACTTTTATTTTTAGCTTTAAACAACTAAATCCTAGAAACAAAATTTTTCTGATTAACAGTGACAAAAAAAATGATTTAATTGAAACATAAATATCGTTCGAAGAAATTCATTTTATAATAAGTCGTAGCAACGATTTTTCGTTTTTTGTGAGATATCAACTTTTCTGACAAACAACGTTTGTCGCTTCGTGCTGAATTGCGCAGTCGAGTGAAACTCGAATTCTATCTAGTTTTTCAGAATCAATATTAAAATGATTAATTTTTAGACGAAATTGGCAAAATTGTTCAAAATTTAATTCAAAATATTCGTAATATTGAACAATTACATCTAAAATTGAATGATAAAGATCGTTTAAAACTTGATCGTCAAATTATTCTTTTACGAACTGAAATCGATCGTGAAATGTCTGAATTTCATATACTTCGTGAACAAGCTAAGGTTGCCTCAATGAATGAAAATTTACCATCAGTCGATGATACTAACAATCATGATAATATACAGCAAGATGAAATATCAAACGAACTTCGTCAACGACATGTAACAACAACAACAGATCGTTTAAGTGATTCATATAATTTACTTGAACAAGATTTAATACTTTTACGTGAAACTATTGGTGAAGTTGCACAACTTGTTGAACAACAAAAAGAAAAACTATCAAATACAGAACGTTTAATAAATACAGCTCACGATCAAATACATGAAGCATCGACATTACTTCAACGAGCAGTTCATAATAAATATGTTACAATACTATCAGGCGCTCTACTTGGTGCTACTCTTGGTGGACCTGTTGGATGTTTTGTGGGTTTAAAAATGGGTGCATTGGTAGCATTAAGTGGTTCAGCTGTTGGTGCTCTGTCAGTAAATTTTATGCAAAGAAGAATAACACGAAATAATGAATCAAAAAACAATGATATATCTTATAATCAAGCTATGCTTTAAAATAAAACAATCATATTTTCTTTGAAAGAACATTCAATTTTCTTGTCCAGTAATCTGTACTTTACTTTATTTCTAAATTTTTCGAAATATATATATATATATGCATATAAATGTATATACTTGTTAGCATCCTTCACGTAGATCAAATTAGAATTGGATTTATCTTAAGAAACAAATAATGTTCGTTATATATTTATTTTATAACGATCTAAAAATGCATTTCATAGTCTGCTTATTAGTGAATATATTATAAAATATTCAAATTAATTTAACCTTGTTTTCAATTAACGAAGAAACAGATCTAATTTAGATTATAACTAGGACTCAATGAGACTAGAAAAAAAACCTGAAACGGTTTCTCGCCATAGATCTTTCTTATGGAGTTATGATCATTTTATCAAACTTTCGGCTTTTGGCAACTTATTCATACACAAGTCAAAAAACAAAGAACTTTCATCTGAGCTTATATCTACAAATAGATCTTTTGTTCCTTAGCACACTCTCAAAGTGTCAGGCAAAGCTGATGGTTCTTTCTCGACATATCGAATACTGAAGAAAATTTGGTGTGATGACTTCTATTGTGGTATATGATTAGTTTTCTGAATATTCAATATGTTGAGAAGGAACGATCTATTTTTACTGAAACTTTCTGTATACACTCAGGTGAGAATTTTCTCGTTTTGATTTTACTGTAAATAACTTGCAATAAACCAAAAATCCAATATAATGGTCATAACTTCATAAGGAAGAAATATAAGGAGAAACTCTTCCATACTTTTCTAGTCATATTGAGTCCTACTTGTAACCAACGCATGAATTCGATCAGTGATTTGAAGCCGAATATATTCCCTCTAAAGCAGCTTAATACATGACATAGGGTACCGTTAAAATTTTAACACGCAACATGTATAGGAGCAACAAAAAATATCAAGCTTATGAATTTTATGTTCGTTAGAACACTGAAATGAATTTTAAAATCTTTAATGTTATCGTTCCATTGTTATAACAAGTGTCAATGAGTGTATTCTTTGCATTTTTTTTTTAAAAAGAAAATCTTTACTATGAATCAAGAACTCTTTGAAGTTTTTCAAGTTAAACAGGAAGACTAGAACATGGTTATTATTATTCAAGATATATGCTATCAAAGCAATGGCGCTAGTAGAATAGACTACTTTTATGTTTCAAAATATTCTGTTCTTTTATCATTAACTGTTATTCTTTCGAAAATATTTCGATTAGAAAAACAGATTATCTTAACATCTATTCATTCCATCTTCATAAAATGATAATTGAATCTTTTCCAACATTATCTTTGTGTTTAATTCAACAGTAAATTTCAAACATGCCAGATATTTGAACATAGAATAATTTCATTTAACTATGATTAAGGATAAATAATGATTGTCCTTAAGATCACTGACCTGTTTTCTTGGCTTAACTGATCTGCAGAATCTTTTTTATTATTGTGTTTTTCGAGTAAGCTTTCTTGTTCGTTTGCATACTTTCTTTTAACTGATGTATTGTTCGAATTATTGGCAGTGAACTTGATTAAACAGTTGTGCATTCATGTTTGACGTTAGTTGTCTATCTCGAAAAAAGTTATTCACTGAAGTTTTTCAGCATCAATATGTATTCAACTTCCAGAATAGTCATCATTTATATAAAGAAAATAAGACAAATGATAAGTATTTGTCTTTGCTTTATTATTTTGAAAGAAAATATAGCTGACATGTTGCATTTGAAAGTAACAGCAATTATTCCTTTTCGTTTTTATAGAGAAGCTGTATAACTATCATCCATAATATTCAATATAAACAAGCAAAGAATGTCTAAGAAACTATCAGGACCAGTTCGTTTGTCGTATTTGTTGATTCATAGAAAAATTCATTCGTATGCCCAAAATTTATTGATTGCAGTTCGGTTTGTACGGAGAAAAACAACTGAGATGATATTGAATATTTGCAATAAATATCTATATTAGAACTATTCGATCCTCATTATATGGATTTCAGATAATTATTATACTTCTAGTGATTTTATTCTGACTCCAGACAAACTATCATCAAGAAATTCCACTTCAAGTCCAACTACTTTCTATCAAGTTACGAGAAAGATAAAAACTATACAGATCTTATTACATCGATTAATATTTGAAAATATATGTATATACGTATTTTATACGATTTGACATATCGTCTTCTCATAGGGCATGAAAAAAAAAACATTTTCTACTAATCATTCATACATATTACATTCAGAATGATATTGAATGGTATGATTTCTAACAAACACAAACATACAACAATCAACATATTGCAAGCAATTTTTCAAATATCATTTATCAGTTCTAGTCTAATACTCTTGAATGCCGAAGAAGATCAGAAGGTCTTCAATAGAATGAATCTACGTATCCATCTTTGTCGAGAATGTTATAGCAAACTATCAATTTCGATTTAACTAAGATCAGAATGAAATTTTTGTTCTGAATCATACCTACTGCATTGAAAAAGCCAGTCATTTTTTTCTCCAAGAAACCATTATCAAGATTTCTGTGTTCTACTTTTTTCTCAAAATAAAATCTAGAATATATTTACTATTTTATTTCAATAATATGACATATAAAACAAGAGACTAGCATTAGTATTTTCATCTTTTTTATCTTACTCTTAATAACCTTCAGAACGATTATTAGAATATTTACATCATCATTGTTGATGAAAGATGATAAGGTGAAAAGTTACATCATTTCATTGTTCACTATATCTTCAAATGGTTCTTTTTTGGCTCTTACATTTTCATTTCATTGCAATTTTAGAATCGATAGAAAGTAAAATAAACAGCATAGAAAATAAATATTGATTATCGATGTGAATGACAAAACAGAACGATCATAATCCTTCCTTTGGAATGTATAAACAAACAGCAATGAAAAAAACTTCTGTACTTGAGTACTTCACCAAACTTTTCTTTTCTCTTTTTTTGCTCTCTTTAAAAATTCAATATAAACTTCATTTTTTTTAATGTAATTGTATATAATTATGATATGTTTAAAATTCGAACTAGAAAGTAATCATGTCGACAAATAGTTTCTTCTTCGTTTTATTCATTAAATGAATTATACAATATAATGAAGATGTGTTCTGATTTGTTAACTAGCAGTGATTTCATGCTTTCGAAAAAGAAAAAATTCCATTTGTTATTATTCACTTCCTGACATAGATTTGTGCGTTCAGTAGCTAGCTTATTGATGATGTGAAAAGAAAAAGAAATCGAGAGAAAGAGAGACAACCAATATATGTCGATGTCTATTTGTTGCCATCGTGAGCGCAGCAACCAAACAAACACAAATCATGTATTGTGTTGCCGGCCGCATCGATGTTTCCTCGGTTACTCTTTGCATTTTTTCTTCTTTCGCAACAGGCACGTCCGTCCGTCTGCTATACTGTTGCTACGATGATGATGCGAAGTATACGCATAATTTCTCCTTTCTTTTTTTCGTTTCAGTCGCCGTTACCGTCGTCGTCTAACAACGCACACATACACAACACACTCTTTCCATACACATCCACTTCATCTTTCTCTCTTTCTCTTTTTTCTTTCTCGCTTCGTATTTAAAAGAAGAAACTCAGTTCAACATTGCCTCTCATTCTTCGCTGTAGACGTACACATTCGCTCGTCGTTCTCGCTTATAAATATCTCTACACTTTGAACATAAAAAACTCGAAAGAAAAACAAAGTAAATAATTTCGAAGAAAAAAAATTTCAAATAATTATAATTAAAAATGTTTCTATATCTAGATGCGTGAATGTATCTCAATTCATGTCGGCCAAGCCGGTGTTCAAATTGGTAATGCCTGTTGGGAACTTTATTGTTTAGAACACGGTATTCAACCTGATGGCCAAATGCCTTCGGATAAAACCATTGGTGGTGGTGATGATTCATTCAACACATTCTTTAGTGAAACTGGTGCTGGAAAACATGTACCACGTGCTGTTTTCGTTGATTTAGAACCAACTGTCATTGGTGAGATGAAATTATTCACAAACAAATATTGATTCTATCTATATATATATGATCTTTTAGATGAAGTACGTACTGGCACATATCGCCAACTTTTCCATCCTGAACAGCTCATCACCGGCAAGGAAGATGCCGGTAAGCATCGATTAAAATTTGGTTTCTTTACTTAATCTATGATCAATTCTGTATCTATAGCTAACAACTATGCTCGTGGTCATTATACCATTGGAAAGGAAATTGTTGATCTTGTACTCGACCGTATTCGTAAATTAGCTGATCAATGTACTGGTCTTCAAGGTTTCCTCATCTTCCACAGCTTTGGCGGTATGTATTTTATTTAAATGAATTGAAAATAGTTTTTACTGAAAACATTTTGTTCTTTTTTTAGGTGGTACTGGTTCAGGTTTCACATCATTGTTGATGGAACGACTCAGTGTTGACTATGGCAAGAAATCAAAACTTGAATTTGCCGTTTATCCAGCTCCGCAAATTTCAACTGCTGTCGTTGAACCATACAATTCGATTCTTACAACACACACAACACTCGAACACTCGGATTGTGCTTTCATGGTTGACAATGGTTCGTATATATATATATTATCATTTGAAAGTTCTTTATTTCTATATATTTCTGTTAAAATTATAGAGGCCATCTACGATATTTGCCGTCGTAACTTGGATATCGAACGACCAACATATACCAACTTGAATCGTCTTATTGCTCAAATTGTTAGTTCAATTACAGCATCACTTCGATTTGATGGTGCACTCAATGTTGATCTTACTGAATTTCAAACCAACTTGGTACCTTATCCACGTATCCATTTTCCTCTTGCTACATATGCACCAATCATTAGCGGTATGTTTCCATGAAATTTTATATTTCATAAGTATGAAATAATATGTTTTTATAGCTGAAAAAGCCTACCATGAACAATTAACCGTCGCTGAAATTACCAATGCTGTATTCGAACCAGCTAATCAAATGGTTAAATGCGATCCTCGTCATGGTAATTGATTTATATTTGAAATGTTATTTTTTAATATATTAGTAACATTTTAGGAAAATATATGGCTTGCTGTTTATTATATCGTGGTGATGTTGTACCAAAAGATGTCAATGCAGCTATTGCTACAATCAAAACTAAACGAACGATTCAATTTGTTGATTGGTGTCCAACTGGATTTAAAGTTGGTATCAACTATCAACCACCAACTGTTGTACCAGGTGGTGATTTAGCTAAAGTTCAACGTGCAGTTTGTATGTTATCAAATACAACAGCTATTGCCGGTATGTTCAACGAATTTGTACAACTTGTTTTGAAAATTAATTGTTTGTCTTTTCTAATAATTTGACAGAGGCTTGGGCTCGTCTTGATCACAAATTCGATTTAATGTATGCTAAACGTGCTTTTGTTCACTGGTATGTCGGTGAAGGTATGGAAGAAGGTGAATTTTCAGAAGCTCGTGAAGATTTGGCTGCACTCGAAAAAGATTACGAAGAAGTCGGCGTTGATTCAGTTGAAGTATGTTAATTTCTTTTTTTAATTGTAAGGATAAATAATTTTACATATAAATTTCTCTATTTCAGGGCGAAGGTGAAGGTGAAGGTGAAGAATATTAAATGGGCGAAGAAAACTATCATCGAGAGCACAGCAACATTAACAACAATAATCTATTCTATCGAACATTCTAGTTTCTTATTGTGTACTATCAGTTTCTTTATTTCTTTTTGCTTCTGTATGTTTTCCACTAGTTTGACAACCAGCGAGAGATCTTCTATATGTAATTCAATGGAACTCCTTATTTTTAATCAATTTTTCTGTGCTTCGCCTATGACAAAAGAAAACATCAAATAAACAAATGATTCACTTTATTCTAATTAAATAGAAATGTTTAAGTCATCACAAATTTTTTTTTTTCTAGGCAATATTTTATTAAGAAAATTGTTGAGTTCCGTTGCGTATATTCAGTTTACTTTCATTTTCTATGCTACTACTAAGTTTCAATAATGGCCTAGCAGTTACATCACACGTTCATAACTGAATTGAGCAACACATTCAACTTAATTAAAGTTACACAATTTTGAACCATGTGTAGAAATCAAGGGAACACGAACAGAAAAGTGCATTCTATTGTTTATCCTATTTAATCATTGAAAAGTAAATTCATCAAACTGATTGTTTGTGTTTAAAATTCAAATAGAAATTAACTTGATGGTAATAGTAATATAACATCAGAGATGCAGAATCTACCACTAAAATTTCCTCCAAGAAAGAGATGAGTTTCAAAAAAATGTTCATACTGTCATAATAAAATAAACGTTTGTTTTAAAAATGTATGTTAATGTAAAAAAAGCAATAAGAATGTCAGAAGGTTACTACACACTCAAAACAAAACGATATAAAAAAACAGAATAATTTCATCAATTGTTGCATAATATTGCTAATCTTAGTACTTGGTCATGCCAGAAATGATTCATTACAACTGAACTATGGCTTAAATGTTAAATCTTGTTAGCTTTTCTTGTAATATAACATTGTCTACTTCAAAACATGGTTGAATTCATGATGGTGAGATGAAGAGTTTCTGATTAGGTTGCGATTGATAAATTAGATTGAAGGTTAGCAGAACAACAAAGTTTTCTTATTCGTTACCTTGGTTTCAGTGGTTTTGTCGAGACTTGTAGCGAATAGCTTGTTATATGTATTAGGAACAACAAAACAAAAGTTAATCTAAATAGTGACGCAAGCAAATGAAATGTGTTAATACTGTTCATATTTGGAGAATATGATAAACTTAAACAGAACGTCATCTTGGACATATGCATGATGAAGAGATCTGCTGAATAGTAAAAGGCATTAAACGAAACAGCAGTTTGATTGTTTTCTCTTGAGAGATCAATTATGCAACTTGGTACCTTAATTGATATGAAAGAAAGACTTTCTTAGCTCATTTTCTATATTAAGAAGTTTTCATGTAGGCAACAACTTTCATAAGATTTTCCTCTACGCAAATAAGCACATTACGGTGAATTCTGCAACTCTTCTTACAAAATTCAAAGTTAACAAAAGTCAAATTAATTTCATTGCAACATATTTTATATTATATATATTAATGTAACATTTAAATTTCAATGCACTCAACACCTGTCTCTAATATTGGATTTTTTGTATGAAATTTCGTGAAACAAATCAATGTTATATTGTAAACAGATTTGCAGTCTTATATTTACTCAAGTTAACATTAGAAAGATGATGATTAAGAGAATAGATTCTCTGTCGATATTTTATTCTGTGTTAAACAAATTATTGTCAAATTTATGTCATCAAAGAAGTTAAATATAAAAGGAAGAAGAGAATCTTAAAAGTACAAAGGAACCTACTGTAACCAATGAAATATCTTCAAGTTTTACTAACAGATGAATTTTGTCGAACAAAAAAGTGAATAATCTATAGAAATATTATAAAGAAATGATACCAAAAATGAACTGATTGATCTTAGTATAGAAGTTGACAATCTTTAAAAAAATAAATGAATTTTTTAGCAGGGTCTGAACAATTTTCGTTGGTCTCAATTTGTTAATGTTTTGATATTTATTCCAAAATAAATCATATTCTATCAAGCAGAATATAACTCTCTTTCTTAATAAAATAGTTTACTAGCATTAGTATTGAATTTTAAACTATTTCAGAACATTTAAGTTTTATCATCTTGATTTAAACTATGAATATTTTTCTGCGGTATTGTTGACTTTGTTAGCCTCTGAACATATTTGGGTCCAAGACACTCTTCTATAACGGATGAGTTTTGTAACAATTGTTTGAGCTGTTGAATTTTTTCTCTATGTCGAAGAACTATTATTCGATTCCATATATCATCTGTAAACTTAATTTTTAAATGTAAATGTGAATGATTTCGATATGTTCCATGATTAAGAACAATAGCTCTATAACATATTTCTACTTGATTGCATTCTCTATCGATTAATTCAATAGCATCATGCCAAAATGCTTCCATTTCTCCATTTTCATCATTTAGTTCTGACAAACGTTCAACATGTCGAATAGGTGTTAAAATAAGCATTGCTCGAGTTTTAGCATCAAGCCATGCACGAGTATATTGTTGTTCAGATAATAAAGTAGCCATACTTAGTTCATGTGTTACTTCACATGATATACAGACAGGAGTTATTATTGGTTTTGATGTACAATAAGGTTTACCGAAACAAATCCATATATCTAACTCATTGTTTCTTTGAGAATTATATTGAAGTTCAAGATGATAATCAATTAATTGATGATCCTGTTCAAGAAAAGTAACAAGTTGTCGGAAAAAACGACCAGCTCGATTAGTTATTACAAGATCACGTAAACTGATAGAACACTGAAATATCCATTTATTAGGCATTTTCTGTGGAATGAACCATTCAGTAGGAATAGTTAATGATGTCATTTTTTTCTGAAATATCAAAATTTCATTAAATGTATATATATATTTATTTATGTTTCTAAAGACTATGCATGCAAATTATTTCTTTTACTCTAATAAAAGAAAATAACTTGTGTGTTTGATTTTCATTCACTTATAAGTCATTAGGCAGAACGAGAATTTTCATGCTTTTCCTAAATATATGTTTGTATTAGTTTTTCTGACTTCCATTCGATGTTTTGAAAGTAAATCATTGACGAAGGTCGACAACAACTCGGGTACAAAACACGAGATTAGAAGATCTGAATAAATGTTTACTCATTTTCTAAATATCAAGGTATCATTTGAGAAATTTTAAAAGTAGTCAGTTAAGATAGAATTTAAATCAAAAATATTGTATGCAGTACCTATAAGAAAACTGGCAAATAACTGCGATGGAATGTGTTTTTTTTACTAAAAACACAAACAAGTCGTTCAAGAGCGTGTTTCATACGATAAATTTTATTAGTATAAAGACTTACTTATTCTCTACAAAAATCTTTTTCGGTTTATTTATCAGGTTTATTAACTGCCTTGCTGAATATTCTAAAGATTTCGAGAAAGATATATCATAGTCAGCATTACAAAAGTTGAAGTATAGTAGATATATAAATACTCCTCCTATTGATTTATACTTAATCGTTTGTTAGACCCTCAAGCGTTATTTGAGAGTACCAACTAAATTTCGTTTTTTGAAATATTAACTGTAAAAAAAAAACTTTCTCAAAATCTTTAGAGTTTCCAGCAAAGAAGTCACTGAAAATCGTACGATAGAATCGTATAAATTTGATAAAAATTGATAAGATTAAACGAATAGAAACTGGCGTTTGCAAAGCAAAAGTAAACATAAAAGATGATTCGTAGTAAAGTTCTCAAATATGAATTTAACCAGTTGATATAATTATCATTGGAATCGTAATATAGATGTCACTGAAATCAGATCATTGGCTAATGAGTCGAGTGACAATAACTGAGATATAACATCTTGTCAGTTTGCTTCAATTAGTCACATTCTCAGCTAGAGATGTATGGTCAAAATTTTGTATCTAATGTCTACATTGACGTAGGTGTTTTCACTAAATAAATTGTCTATTGATTCTAGTCTCTTTACTGTATAAATGTATCTGAATTTTTCTAGGATGAGACTCAACATTTCTGAGATATATGCATATGTATCGTTTATCTTCAGGAGCGTCATTGATCAGATGGATAATTTTGAAGATTGGAAACAAATGAGTTAAAGTCACTCAAAGGAAGTTTGACCGATGAGATAACTCAACACAATGCATTACCATGACGAGCTAAAAAATTCCATTCATACAAGAAATTAACTAGTCAGAAAATGATAAGATCATTTAATGCATTTCTGTTCCTAGTTTATGTCATAAAATATTTGATTATCGAGATAATAAAACCCTCATCATTACTATGTATAATCTTTCTATCATATTCAAATTATTCGCATATAAGAAAGAAATCACACGATTCATTTCTTTCAAAACATCATTTTCACTACTGCTATCCCAATGCGAAGAGATGTTCGTGCACCACCCAGCTCGATCCGGAAAAAGCTAACCACTGAGCAGAAGGATTTTATGGCGTTAGGAAGAAGCCGACCTTTCTCTTGCCAGGACAAGTGAGTAAAAAAATGGAGAGAACTACTCAGTTTCGTTGAAGAACAATGAAAACTTAGTAAAATCATGCGAGGATATAGAATGCAGATGTGTGTGGGTAATTTTTCTTCACCCACACCTACTCGAATCATAGACGGTTTTTGTCTGTTCTCAACGTGCAATTAAATTCTTTTTTCTCTATTATCAAGTCTTTTTTTTTTTGAAAAATTCTGCACTTTTCATTCTAATGCAGGATTCAAGTCGGATGGACTCTATTCTCAAATATAGACTGGCTGATGCACATCTATGTTACGTTCAGTAATTCATAGTATCTGACAACTATGGGTACTTTCATCCATCTACATAGATTCGACTCTTCTCATTTAGACATGATTCTGAAGAGATTAATATAACATTTATTGAGAATAATAGACCGACGATTATGTTCCAACTATAGGATTGTGGGATATTAAATAAATTACCTATAATGATCTAAATATTATATAGAAAACAGCACAAGACGGTTTCACAGCAAAGATACGACTGTTATGTATTGAAAAGGCAGCAGTTTCTTCCAACGAAACCGTGCATTTCTATAAATGAAGACACTTCTGCAAATTTAACTTTTTGTTTTTGTATTCCATTGTTTATCATTTTAAAAGAGAACAAAATCTCAGAACGATTACACAACCCAGTTTGATGATTACGAACTCCATATACGGTCATAAACGATCGTGTCTTAGCCAAAATCTCAAAAATATGATTGTTTTTCTAGTCTTTTGTTTTCTGCTCGTATAAAAAGTGATATGAAGTTGGCGATCTGAACTTAATAATCAGATTAAAAAATAAGAAAATTACTCAATGTTGAATGAATCCAATAGATTAAATAGTCTAAAATTTAAAAAAAAGAAATAAATCGGATAAAAATTCCATACTTTTTATTGAAACAATCGATCGAATGATTTAAAACAACAAAAAAAAAGAAGCAAATGCATTACAAATACTAATTGTTCATGAAAATTATAGATCGAAATGAGCTAATACATGTAGGACACATAAAATAAAATACTTACTGTTCGTGAAACTGATAGATCTAACTGATCAATAGTAAATAAAATAAATTAAATTAAATTAAAAATATTTACTGTCCATAGAACTAATGGATCTGATGATCTCAAATGTTAAAAAATAGAAATGAATTAAAAATACTTATCGGAGTTCGAAAGCGAACCGAACCAAACTTGAACTGGTTTTCGACTTTCTGGTGGTTCAAGCAAAGCATAAGTAAAAGCAATCGTTTCCATCTATATAATATAGTTTGCTCAGAATATATTGAACTGGTGAGGACTGAAGCGAGTTTTCATTCATTGTGCTATAAAGGATAATAGTTTTAAGCATAGTGGAATTGCTATTTTGTCTTGTTATCAATAGAATTCGTTGTTTATCATGATGAACAGTCTACTAACCGCAAGCTAATGCATAGCAAGCTATTTTTTTCTTTCTTTATCATCGCTATGCAATCCGACGAAATGTCTTGCAATCATTTGATCTGAGATCATTTTTATGTCGTTTGTGTTTTGTATTTTGTGTACGTGCATGTTTCTTCATTTATTATATTCTGCTTACGTCTGAAATGGCATCATCAGATTCTTCTACTTCTTGGTCGCCAAAACGAAATTTCACCATCGCGAGCCACGTCTGACTCTTCTCATTGATACTCAAAGGCGAACTACACCCGAACTCAAAAACTTGGGTTCGTTTCAAACTGTTTCAAACGCCATAATATCGGTTAACATTGTCTCTTTTCATAATGGTAATATAAATATGACTATGTGATGTTTGATTTTTCCAAATTGATCAACAACAATTTTTCAGATTTTTTGATTACATGGTGAATAAACTTTTAATAAACTAATAGTATGCTAGAAAACAGTACATGGTTATGTTGGCTATTTTCTGTCATTAGTCACATGATCAAAAAAGGTATACGTTGAATATATGATTTCATATAAATAAAAAACATAAACATGCCTAAGAATAGATCATGAAAAACCTATCGTGTATTGAGTAAAAGATTTACGTCTTGCAGGCATGTTCATGGTTTTTGTTTATTTGAAATCGTTTATTCAATATATACTTTGTTTTGATCATGTGACTAGTGACAAAAAATAGCCAACATAACCATTTACTGCTTTCTAGCATACTATTAGTTTATTAGAAGTTTATTCGTCATATAATCAAAAAATTCGAAAAACTCTTGTTGGACGCTTTCGAAAAACAGAGCATCACGTAGCCATATTTATATTCCTATTATGAAAAGAGACAATGTCATTGTCTGCATATAAAGTAATTTTTGTCGAGACCCAAAACTTATGACACACTTTTTATACTCATATATATATAGCATTTATTCAACTACAATGCATGCATCATGAGTTACGACCTGATCTTTTTCTAGTTATTAATTTAGACGCTAACTTGTTTAGTTACCAGCTCTACTCTTAGCTTAATTTAGGAAGTACCTTCCTACCTTACCTCGCAGATTTAGTTATCAATTTGATGCATCACTATAGTTACAAAGTACAATTAGTATTAATTTACATAGTATTAGGACATTTTTAACACTGCTTGTATTATCTCAGACTATTTGATGATGGCTTCAATCATTGCAATGAAGGTCGCCAAAAACAAACATTGCCAGTAATTACACTGTCTAACTTCAATTCATCAAATGTCAACGATGTGATTTTGGATAAAGAGAATAGTAACAAAACAAAGCATCATAAATACTACGTTTCTACGCATTTGTAAAAAATACTTTGTTTCCAGCAGTAAAAGAACGCTGACAAATGCGCTTAAATGCATGAAAAATAAACACGACAAATGCATAACTGTAAAAGCATTCGAACGATATGATAAGTAGCGTTGATCGAAGAGAAAGCACGTCTTCTTTAATGAACACGTCCAAACGATGTTTTTAGATGGTGTTTCAAGTTGAAGAAAAAACTATTGTCCATATAAAAAAAAAAGATGAGCTTAAATGCATTGCAAATAAAAAAACCGACGTATTTACACGCGTTAAAAATAAAAAACCATGCGTAAAAGCATAAAAGCAGTGTCTTTTTTAGGTTTCAACTTTGAAACACTATATTGTACAATTTTTTTTTCATGGGTACGTAAAATACACTTAGTATGTCATTCATAACTATTTTCGGATTGTCTTGTCTATCTATTGTTGTAGAGAATCTAGTTTCCCTACAAAACTATGATCTACTATAGGCTAGAAGTCATAAGGATCGAAAGCTATAAACACTGAGAATTTCATTTTTTAAAACTCAACACATATTGATCATCGGTAGCAATATGTAAACACATAAATATATTTGACATATTGTAGACAACACTTTGCTCTACAAACTCATATATAATATAAAAGAACTTTCTTACAGTTTCACTTAAGAATAGTTTCTTGTAAACATACTGAAATACACTAAATAAAAAGTATTGTACAGAAGTCAGTTTGTAGCTTCCATTCAATTTTGACTCTCAATGGACTAGTTTTAAGCCAAAAGAAAAAGAAATTCTGAATATATTTAGAAAAAAAAAACCTGAAATTCTCATTTTAGCTGACTACTTTTGATTGTCTTCAATGACTTGTAAGTGGATGAAAATTAAGCAGATATGTTGTGCGAAGAGATTTTACATGCAAGTTAAAATTAATCCTTCGAAACTATCTTAAGATTGTTCGTTGTGAACTGTGTGTTGTACATTCATTGTACTTGAACAATAATTGAAACCATTTCTTTGTCCATATTATTTCTTGTTGCCTTTTGTTCTATATTGCACAACATTGAGTTGATGTTTATTATTATTTTTTAGGACAAAAAAACACAATCAATCCTATTGCCTTATCAACTGATAATATTACTATTCTTAAAAGTTTCTTAACAAAAATATGATGTCAAGAACGATTTTAATTAATTAAGTGATAAATCGTAAAAATGATTTTAAATAATTGGATTTTATTGATTCAGTCAAAATTATATTACTGTTATAAAAGTAAAATTTATAAATTGTTTATTTTTCTTGTTCAAAAATCTCATTATACTTTTATCTCTCATTTTTCACAGATTATTACTTTTGACGAAGCATATAAAAATGTAATAATGATAAACATGAAGTAACCAAAAGAAAAAAAAGAAAGAAAAATAGCATTTAGTTTGGTTTAATCATTAAATGCTTCGGTTTGTTTATGAATAATTCATCGATGTTTTCCCAATATAAATAGTGATAATGAGTGTTCAGAATATTTAACATGAAGTTCAAATAGTAATGCATTGAAATATGTTGTTTTCTTTTCGAAATATTTGACATAAAGCAATTTATGTCAACATCAAATATTTCTTCTATTTTAACCAGCTAGTGGAAGAAAACTGAAGATAATCATAAGAATCATAATGATAATAATAATATTGACAAGATAGTGAAGAATTGTACGTTGAATAGGAGCTGATTCAGAAGTTTTCATTTCTTTAAAATACAAAAAAAAGAAACTTTAATCAATACAACAAAATAGTTTTTTAATTCTTATTTCAATATAAAATATGGAAATTTTGTTTTTTTAATATTTCTTTTGAAAAAAAAACAATAATTAATTAATTCGACTAAGAAATTTTTCATACGCTTCGATTTAACCAATAAAAAATTCTTTATCTCGACATCTATCATTGATTAAAACCAAGTTAATTAAAAGAATTTTATTAAAAAGAATTTCATGAATTCAGTAAAATTTTCGTATCGAAAAATAATCGAGAAGTATTATTCAAATGATAAATAAGGTACTTTGCGGATGTTCTTTGTCCATATGTATGTGTGTTATGCTTGTTTTTCATAGTATGAGCGATGGAAGATTTCTTTTTTTTTGTCTGTCTGAACTCAAGTAAATCTTTCGACAAACAAAAATTGGATGTTCAACATGTGTATTTGAAATAAATTTTAGTTAATCAATGTACAATGAAAAATTTTTAGCATGAAGTTCATTGTAGATCAGTTGTCTTGTCTTTTCGTTGGCATTTGATTATTAATAATCATGAGTAATAACGACGATTATATATTGACAACATTAAAAATTCTTATTATTGGAGAATCTGGTGTTGGAAAAAGTTGTCTTCTATTACGATTTACTGATGATACATTCCATACTGAAATGCCTGCAACTATAGGTGTTGATTTTAAAGGTATTAGTTTTTTTTTTTTAATAAGAATAGATTTAGATTTCTTTTTTTGACAGGAAAATTTTTGTTTATTTTATAGTTAAACAATTAGAAGTCGATGAAAATCGAGTTAAATTGGCTATTTGGGTAAGTATAAATACTAAAATCTTTCAGAAGAACATTTCTTTATTGGGAAACGTAAATTATGATAGTATTACTATGTAAGAAAGTTTTTATCATTTTGTCACTCTTCTGTGTCTCTATGACTATTAAAACATAGATGCATTTCTCGATTTTTATGTGTGTTGATCTTCTATATTAACATTTATTTTATGAATAGTATTCGAAAAATAATCGATACGATTGCTTACTAATGAGTTGATATTAACGTTTATTAATTCAAAGCACATACATGTTCATAGTCTAATTATAAGTCAATATTTATGATCAGTTAGCTTTTGTTTTAACATCAAATTATTCTAATATATGTAGTTCAAAATGAAAATTCACGAATAGTATTTTTAATCTCAAGATAATTAAACAGATGCTTATTATTAACAGAAAAATGCTTACTCTATCTAAATCTGTCTAGGACACAGCTGGACATGAACGTTTTCGTACATTAGTGCCTGCTTGTATGTATTTTAAATTCTTTTCATGTTTTATAAATATTACTACACTACTTAGATTATCGGTAGAATTATTTTCAATCTATCTTTTTTCTTTTACCGAGTACATATGTACTATTTTTTTTTTGGTCAGTGGTGCACATGGTGCTATTCTTGTTTATGATGTATGTAATCGTAATTCATTTCAACAATTGGATCGGTTAGATTTTTCAATAAAATAAAATATTTGAAATTAAGAATAGACATATTTTTATTTTAGATGGATTGCCGAATTGAATACATTTTCAACAAAATTAAATATTATTAAAATGCTTGTTGGAAATAAAATTGATTGTCAAGATAGTCGAGAAATCACACGTGAAGAAGGTGCAAAATTTGCACGTAAATATTCTATGTTATTCATTGAAACATCAGCTCGTACACGTGAAGGTGTTCAAATTGCATTCGAAGAACTTGTTCAAAAAGTAATTTTTTTTTTTTTGTTTTTCATTAATTCTATTATTTTTTTTTCGAATATAATTAGATTCTACAAACTCCATCATTATGGCAAAATGAACAGATATCGAAACGAAATACGATTTATTTAGATGATAATGAGAATTTCAATCAATTTTCACAAAGATGTTATTGTTAAAATATTTTTTTAGTTGCTTTTTATTTTGTATATACGATTATCGTGCGGTATCCTTTCTTCCGATACAGAACATGTAGTCAAGATCATGAATGAATGTAATCTCTATTTTCTTTCAGAATCTCGTTTGTATTTAAAAACAAAATAATGCGTTTATAGTATTGACTTTTGTTTTTCCATTAATACTTGCTTTCCTTAAAAATTGATGGGGTTAAAATTAATTTTTTTTTGTTTTTTTTTACTTTAAGATACAATGAATAGAATTATTTCAAGACGCATACGGAAATCAATCAGACAGAACGATTATATTTTATAGTAAAATTTTAAAATAAATCATCGGCATGCTTGTGATGTCAACATAGAAAATAACGGATTACTGAATAAACAATATTTTTTATTGAGTGAGTATCATTTCATATTTGAAGTAATATTATATAAGATATGTTTTGTTGAAAAAAAGTTTCTCTTGTAAATATTTACTCAAAATTTAGATTATACAACACTCTGTTTTTGATCATTTTTAGTGCTCGAAAAGAGTACAATCGATCAAGCTAAAATTTTCATCAGAGATAGAACAACTAAAGTAAAAAGGCGTGTATTTGAAGGAAAAATTTCAAAGAGGGTTTTCAAGATTTTTCTAGAGAACTTTGATTTCCGGTGAGATATGACAAATTCCATCAAAATTTGTCTGATTGAGCTGAACTTTTTACTATAGATACTTGGAAATATTCTCTAGAGGTAGAATCGATTGCTTTCGTTGTTGACCTTCACGTCTGGATTTTTAGAACTTAAAAAGCGAAATCTCTAGTTTGGATTCTAAACATTGCCGTATTGTTTTCATAAAAAAAGACAAAAAGTAAGATTTATGAAAATAACTTCTAAAATATAGCTTTAGGTAGCTTCAAACAAAAAAAATTCAACTCTATTGAGCAAAATTTAATAGAAATCATAATGTACGAGGGTCTTCATGGGAAATCCTTAATTACCTCTTTGAAATGTTTTTTCTCGAACACCTGTCTCATTATTTTAGATACTCTATCTATAGTAAAAATATCAGCCTACTCGGTGATATTCTATTAGAGAACCATATCTGATAATAAGATAGAGGAGACACCCTTCAATGATATTATGTTTCCACAAATTACTTGTGTTGCTTTCTAGAAATACCATTTGCACATAATTCCGACAGTTTCTTATATTGAAACGAACTCAATACAGACGTTTGTTATAAAGATATGTTAGGATGAGAACAATACTTTCATTTTAACTAATTTGTTTAAATTAGTAAGAAAATGCACCAATATTTTAAGTAATACTTTTTAGAGTAATGATTATTTTTTAATAAGAAGAAAAGATTGTCATTTATTAAGTAATTAATAGATTATAGCGTATCATTCAAATCGCTCAACAAGTTTTTCTAATGAATGTTGCAAAATTTTTTGCACAAACATCAAGTTTAACTTTACAAGGACACAATGTGATTGAAAGCTTCTTGCTGTTTTTTATTCTATAGAACACTGTTTAAGGAAGAAAATTTAAAGTCAACATATTTTTCTTTAACAAGATTTTCTTTCTCAAAAATCTTCGTACAATAGAAATTTTCAAAATTCTAACTATCAAATCAGTTTCCAACAAATATTTCAATCAATTTTTTCTCTATATTTGTGTCATTTTTGAAAAGATAATCATTGTGCCTGAAGCAAATCATAATAGCTAACTTTCGTTATGATTTTTATGCATGGCAAGAATCGATATAATTCTTTATATAGTCTGTAGAGTGTCAACTTCGAAGATTATATCTTAGTCAAAGCATTAGGATTTTTTTTCGACGTATCAAAAACTAAATAAAAGAAATTTACAATGTGTTTTCTCATGAGTTTTGCAGAAGTCCAAATCAATTGTGTGACAAATGTACGAATATCAGTTGGCACAATATTTCCTTTTCAAATAGAAATCACGCTCTATTTAATAGAAACAAGAATGAGCTTCCGGTCACGATCTATTCTAATACAATTGAATGTGACATTTTTTCAAGGACTTTTGCAATACTTGTTAAGATATATTTATAATACTCAAAATAGATAATTTCTTCTTTTTTTTCTCTCGTATTATATAAAATAGAGTACATAATATGGAAGTCTGACAAGTAGATACGATCTTTTTTTTTCTAATGTAAATGTTATCTGATGAACCATAAAGAAATTAGAGGTTTTATCAAACCATAGAAAACTAATAAGTTTTTTTCAGAAGAAAAAAAAGATCTTTTTATGTGTATAGTGAAAAATTTAATGAGAAAATAAATAAGTATTATTTTTATCTCAATAAGTAATTAAATATGAATAATGCTTTAGTTCTTCTAAAGAATAACTAGGCTTTTCTTTTCTTATTTATTAATATAAATAGTCAACCACAATGCCAATAAGCACGAACGACATTTCTTGTTAATCCCAAGAGATTGAAAAGAAAACAATTCTATCCAGATTCAATTCAATAGTTTAAACACAGATCAAGTATGTCCTACTCATTTCTGATAACATGAAGTAACTTTACGCTTCTTATTGTTTGCCTTCTATTATTAAAAGAATGATTCAAATACGACTAACATATGGAATAAATATATTAAGGAAGTACATAAATATTCAATGAGTTTTCAACTTGACGAGATAACGAGATTCTTTCAGTGAAGAAAAAATTCTCTAGATAACGTTTTTTCTATTGAAGGTATATGAGAACAAAGAAAAAGAAATCACATATAAAATTATAAGTTAAAACTAGAATTACGATTCCATTAATTATTTATACAGATAAAAGAAAAGCTATGGTTGTTAAATTTTATACTATAATCTTTTTATAATTAACAATTTTCGAGCTTTTATGAAAAGTGTCTGCTATAAAGAAATTACGTCTTTCCTAACATCAAAAGTTTTTTTTTTTTTACATAGAACAGATATACTTCATAAACATCTGAAAGGTCTAAGTAAATAAAATAATTAGTTATTGCTATTGTTACGTCTCTTTTCATGGATTTTTATTCTCGGAAAATTAACTATTGTTAAAATATAGTAAAATCTCTCCTGTCATATGCATTGATGGAATTTTGCATATGTATTCACCATAGAATTATATGACAGTATCGATTATGTCGAAGTTCAAATCTAATAAAAGTCACTCCGTCGAACCGTGGAATGTTTCTTATAGAAGGTTTTATTGTATTTAATTATTATTTTCAAATAATGAGTTGAGAAAATATAATCAAAGACAAAAAAAAAATGTCTCTTGTCAAATTATAATGTAATCTCTAACAATATTTGACACATTCGAGTAAGTAAAGCTATTAGTTTTTTGATAAAAAATTTTTTAGTGATGAGTAGCTACATTCTCTTCTATAATAGCATTTTTAAATTCATCTATTGAATTATCATATGAATAATAGTTCTATCAAGACGTTATCTTGTTTTTTTTTTTATAACGTCATATGACAAGTATAAAATTAATACACTATTCGTAGAAAACAATAAAAATACATTAGGTAACTGAATTTGACATGTTTACATCAATATTGACTGTAAGTTTATTTCGAACCAGTAAGTAATTGCTTTTTTTTTCTTTTTCATCGAACAATTTAGATCAATAATGAGTAATGATAATAATTGCTCTTTAGCAAGCATAACAAATTGTTTACCGTAAAAATAAAACAAGAACAAGATTCTATGGAAAGATACATAAATAGAATGGTAAACAAAAATTCTTTTGTTTTTTCAATTCTTCTCTATGACAAAGACCTTCAAAGTTGCCAATAAAAATGATTTTCTCTTCGTGTTTCAATATGTCGTCTTTTTAATTATGCCCAAATTTTTATTTTTTTTTTTTTTGAATACATTGAATATCTAAAATAATGAAGTTTTCTAATGTTAGAATTCGATCAATCAGATTGAATTTTCTTTTTTAAATTATTATTATGTGAAAAATTCATTTATAATTTTAAAAAATGTACGTAATAGAATTACTCATTTAGTTTTATTAATATACATTTATCATTTCAATGCATATTTCATAAATTGAAAAGAAAAACAAATATATATATATATTGGAAATCACTCAAATTTCTACTAGAGTTTAATACATATACGAAAGAAATGGTTCAACAGACATTGAGATAAGAATATGAGAATATAATTATAAAAAAAAATGAATCATCTTATGTAAATGTGTTCTATAAAGATTTTATATTAAAAGAATAAATATTCAAGGAAGAAAATAGGATTTCTTTTTTTCTTTTTGCTTTTATTCTGAATCTAAGTTTCTATGTTTACATAATTTTTTTTTGTTTCCCGAGATAATCAACTTCTTAAAACTATTATGTTAACTACCTTCTTCTCTTTATGTTTTTCTATTTTAATAATTTAAACCAATTGCTTGTATATTTACTTATCTTTCTTGGAATAAAGCTTCGTTTTATTTTTATTTTTTCTTTTGGTTTATCCTGAGAGAAACAATATGCTTGAATACATAAAATGAATCTTTATTTCAATACAGTTTGTCATTTATGTATTCTTTGCTTTGATGTACGAATGTGTGTGTTTTTTCTCTAGTTTGATTCATGTGTAGAATAGTCTTGCACAGGAAGTAACCGTTATGAAAAAGTTCCGACGTTGATCGACTCACAAATTAGAATAGTCTAGTTGTCTAGTGTGTTGAAAACAGAAAAGGATAGAAAAAAAAAAGAAGAAAAACAAGAAGAAGAACAAGGACAAGGACGGCGATGACAAGAACGGAAGAATGAGTGACATTGAAATTTTTTGGCTTTATTAGTAGCAAACGTTGTCAGATCTTATTCTTATGCTTGCTGCCGAGAATTCTTTTCTTCTTTTTTCTTTTTTTGTTGCTTTTTCACTACTGTTACTGCTGTCGCCTTTTTTTTTCTTTTCTTATTTTTTATTTCTTCCATTTTTAATTGCGTCATGTTATTCTTGTTTGACGGAACACTGTTCGATTGAAATAAT